TACCCCCCCGGGACCCCCACCTGCCCACAGAGAGCACATATCAGGGAGCAGCACAGCCTGCCATGGCTGTGACCGTGTGTCCCTGTGTCACTCTGTCCCCTCCTCTGCTGTCCTCGGGTCCCCCAATCTCCTTGTCTCTGGTTCCCCTATCTCCTGTCCCCTCCCCTCACACCTCCCTGTGTTCCCCTACCCCACATCCCTGCTTCCCCTAGTGCCCATATTCCCTGTCTCTATTAACTCATACCCCCATTCCCGTATGTTGTGTCCCTGTACCCTCGTATTCCCATGTGTCTGGTTGAATTCTGTGTCCCCAAAGATAATTTCACAGCCTTTCCAAGTCCATTTTCCAGCATTTATGTACCCCAACTGTGTTTTTTCCTTCTACCTAGTTAGAATTTCCCTTTCTGCAACTTGTGCTTGTTATTTCTCATCCTTTACTGAGCACCTGAGCCTGCCTTTTCTGTAACCATTAGGTTGTGAAACAAATGGTATTACATCAGCCCTTGACCACCTTTTCTCCAGGCTGAATGGTGCAGTTCTCCTTGCCTCTCCTCATGCATCTTGTGCCACAACCCTTGCCCGGTTTTGGCTGGGATAGAGTTAATTTTCTTCCTAGTAGCTGGCATAGTGCTGTGTTTTGGATTTAGTAGGAGAATTATGTTGATAACACACTGATGTTCTAGTTGTTGCTGGGTAGTGCTCACGCTAGTCAAGGACCTTTTCAGCTTCCCCTGCTCTGCCAGGTGCACAAGAAGCTGGGAGGGGGTACAGCCAGGAGAGCTGCCCCAAGGGCTGTTCCATACCATACGGCGTCATGCTCAGTATAGAAACTGGGGGGGTTGGCCGGGGAGCAGCGATCGCTGCTCGGGGACTGGCTGGGCATTGGTCAGTGGGTGGTGAGCAGTTGCATCACTTTTTTTTTTTCTCCTGGGTTTTGTTTCTCTCCTTCATTGTTCTCCTTTTCATTACAATTTTTATTATTATTACTTTATTTCAATTATTAAACTGTTCTTACCTCAACCCATGAGTTCTCTTACTTTTGCCCTTTTGATTCTCTCCCCCATCCCACTGTGGTGCTTGGTTGCTGACAGGGGCTAAACCACGACAACCCTCTACACCTTCCTGGTGGCTTTGCTGGACATGCTTCAGTTTGCACACAGGAAAATTCAACCGGACGCAGCCCTGAGCAACCTGCCCCAACTTCGAGCAGGAAGATCTCCAGGGGTCCCTTCCAACCTCAGCTACTCCCCAATTCTAACCCTGGAACTGTGGGCTCCACACTTTCTTAAATGTTTATCAAAGTAGTCCCCAAGCTCCCAAATATCTCGTGGGCAATCTATACCTCCTTCCCCCACCCCAAATTCCTAATCCTCAACCTAGAGCCAAGCAGTTTTGCTTCCAAACCCTTACTGATGGTCTCGGTGCAGTGCAATCTCAATCCTTGCCAAAAAATCCTGCAGGACCCACTCAAAACTACAAGAACAACTCCTGAAAGACCAGACTGAAAACAATAATTGTACCCCTCAAGCTTGCGTGTGCAATACGGAGACATGGAGGCAAAGTGACTTGTGCATGAAAAAGAAATCTCAGCAGCAGATCGAAGCTTCCTCTCCACCTTTTTTGCATCTCAGCCCCAAAACTGTAAACAGCCGGATGAATCCAAATTTCGTGAAAACTGTTGATTTGACAGTATCTTTATTACACAACGTCTTATTACATACAGCATTCAAAAGACAGCTCGCAGGGATGAAAGGCTACATTTACAGCTTGGGAGGTCCCGTCAGCCTCCAGCCCTCCTTGTTACCGATCTTCATTAGAGCAGCAGTAATTCCAAACCCCAAACATGCAGTGGTACCAGTCATGTAACTGTGAGCTGGAAAAAACAAATCAAACCATAAAAGATCTATTAGGGCACAAGTACTATACAGGAGATTCCGACAGACTCTGCAATTTTTCCATGAGCTGCTCACAGAGTCCCTTGACCATCAGTAACGTCGTTTGCCAAGAGAAATCAGAAAAGCGATCTTTGTTTCAATTAAGTTTTCTCATGCTTTTAGCTTGCACTTTGAAATATCAATTTCTATAATCCCCTACCCCATCTCCTTACATAGGCAATCTTGAATTGCTTATTTCAGTGACAAAAATAACAATCACTGCTTCAAACTCTCATCAGCTCAGCAACTCGGAAAAGTAAAGATAAATTCTATTTCACCACAATTAGAACTTAAATCCCTCACATCTTTAACATCGAGTCTGAAAATGCCTAGAGAAAACAGAGCTGTATAAATATCTGCAGGAGCTAATCTAGCCTGACAAGATGCCAGAGGAGCAACAGCAGCAAAAGATACAGCTTGTCCCTCAGAGTGCACAAAGAATTCACAAAGCAGACGTTAGGTTATATTTTCCATGTAAAAGAAATCACATCTATTACCAAGAAAACATGGATTTCCACAATTACATTTTTCATACCCTGCAATTTCAAGTTATAACTGGCAGTTATAGTTGGCTGCACTAGGTCAGCTCTATCTCTGGTCTCCTTCTGCAGCAGCATTTATTTTAGCAGACCTGTACAATGGAGTGTCAACAAAACTGGCATGAAATGGAATTCACGTGCTGAGATGAATCTTTACCAAATAAGCCTGACATCAAGATTATTTTACATTTCTCCCTAATAGCAAGGTTTCTAAAAACAGAGAGGGCTCATTTCATGACAGGCATTATCCACATTTACCTCTTGCACCTAAGACAGCTCCTGTTGCGCAGCCTCCTATGAAATAGTTCAAAGGATCCTCTGGTTCCTCTCGGATTTGGGCACTGAGGCAGGTAGTTAAGCCAAACACAGCTCCCAGTGTAGCTGTAAAGAAGAGGTAAAAAACCAAAACAAAACCCCTCAAGGAACTGAGAACAAAGCACATTTTTGAGATGCATGGTGCTGTACAACGGTTCCTCTGGGAAAAAAAGAGGAAAATGAAGCAAGATCTGCTTTTGATTACCCAGAGGCATGATATCCTAGCCACTATGGTGAGACTCAGCATTCCTCAAGTCCCATCCGGTTCCTTCTGGTACCTCCTGCGCTCCAGCTGTGCAGCCACCTCTGTGCCACGCAGGTCCTGTGCAAACAGGTCCAGCTCAGCCATTTAGCTGGATCCCCAGGAGCCCTGCTGTGTGCCAGCACACAAGGCAGCTGCATTCGAATGGCTACGGACAAATGCCACCACATCCAGCTTGGTTATTAGCTCAGACTTAGTAAGAGCCCCTCCGGATGAGGCAACGGGCCAGCCCCCAAACAGCCAGGGAGTAAGAGAAGAGAGAATCGGTTTCTCTGCAGCACGTTCCCCCAGGGTGCAGGAGACAGCAGAGCTCTGTTTGGGCATTGTGCTGAAACTCAGCTCATGAGTCCCTGTGAATCCAGCCTCACAGGGATTCAGGCAGAGAAACGCCGACGGCTCTGCTCTCCGTGAGGTCGGTTTGCTCCTCCTCTGCCTGCCTGCGGCTTGCAATGATTTTTGGATAGTAGAAAAATGGATTGAGTTTGTAGATTATTATTTTTGTAAACTGATTTTGATTTTGTAAATTGATTTCATATATTAAGAAATTGCAAAGCAGCATCGTCTTGTCCACTGAATTACATACCCCATCCCCTCAGACCCTACATCTATACAACTGAAGTCTGGCAAATAGCTGTGTCAAGCAAATACGCTAAAAGATTTTGGTTGTTTGTAATACAGGTTCTTGATCATGAAATGTGAAACTGGCTACTAGGCACCATCTGCAGATTTCAATTCATCTTTCTTGGGAACAACAAAAATGTCCAGGATAAAAATTTTCAATACTTACAATGAACTAGTAAAACACAAGCTCATGTTACAAACCTCTGCAGTTTTTCAGCAGAAAATGCAATTATGCTGATCCTAAAATCAACTAAAAAGAGCACTGAACAAACAAAACCCACAGACCAAGGACTGTATTTCAGCTTCCTTGCTTTGGACCAAGGAGTCCGTATGTAAAACGCACAGCCTCAGTTCTGGCCCCTTAACAGTAGACAGGATAAGCCCTTCCTCTGGTGCAAGAACTGGTGAGAGGATTCAATATGCTGGTTTAGGATTATGGGATTTATTGAAATCATAATTGGTTACGTTATCGGGTCCATTATAATGACCTTTTACAGCTCAACTCATTAAAGGAGACTGCAGGTCTTGTTTTAGAGTTGAAGAACTCAAAAATGCAGATCTGGACTGCTTGTGAACCAGCTTCCAGTTCAGAGCACTAGTGCATGGGGAGAGGCAGAGGTGACGTAAGCCAATAAAGACTGAAAAACAAGATGAGTCTGGTGAGAAGAAAACTGTGCACTTGTCAAGGGGCTGGGGGAGCTTCAGCCTTGCAGATCTGCACCTGCATCTGGAACAGCCCCCCCAGTTCCCTGCCTATCTCTTCAGTGACCACTTTCTCTTGCAAAAGACAGACAATTCAAGACAACTTAGCGGTTTCTTCTTGACTATCCAGCATGATGGGAAAAAGCCCACATTTATGTTCCTTTTGCCATCAAAAACATTGTGTTTGCTTTTCAGCAGGTATGATGTATTAAGCGCAATGCCTAAATATATGAAGTAAATGGATAGGTTTGCTTCCACTGTACTTTTGTCCAGAAACCAGCTGTTTTGCAAATACTGAAAATACATACCTTTTACTCTAGATTGCAAAAAACGCATTACCTAAACTTTAAATAAAGAACGTGGCTTCAAATAACAAACATGAGAGGCAGAGACTGCCTCAGATGCATCTTCAGCCTGAGCTGACACGGCTGTTCTTCTGTCTCAAGCGTTAATCCAGGAGTTTCTTTTGCCATCAGCCATATGATTACTGGTATTACATTATCCAGCGGAAAATACTACCCACATGCGAATAACCATTCTATTCTACTTCAATTTGGCATACAAGTACGCACTGTGTTGGAGGAAATATAGCAAGACGTAATGCAGCAAAAGGAAATACCAACTGTAAAGCTCTGCGCTCCTTTCGAGTCATTTTAGCATGTTGGCTCTTGGCTTCCTCCTCACAATAACGATCTGCCCGAGCCGTGCGGAGGCGGAAAACCAAGCGGTACTGAGCAGTCACAGGCACAGCTGGGGGCTGCACCCGGAGGCCTCGCCGGCGGCTGCCC